TTGCCCATGACCATACCTTGCCCGTGACCATACCTTGGCCATTACCATATCTTGCCCATGGCATACCTTTACCATGACCATACCTTGCCCATGACCATTCACTGCCCATGATCATACCTCGCCCATGATCATACCTTGCCTATGACCATACCTTGCCCATGACCATACCACACCCATGACCATTCATTGGTCATGTACATGCCTTGCCCATGACCATTCGTTTGCCCATGACCATTCATTGTCCATGACCATACTTTGCCCATGACCATACTTTGCCCATAACCATACCCTGCCCATGACCATACCTTGCCCATGACCATACCCTGCCCATGACCATACCATGCCCATGACCATATCCTGCCCATGCCCATTCATTGGCCATGTACATACCTTTCCCATGACCATTCATTGCCCATGACCATTCATTGGCCATGTACATACCTTGCCCATGACCGTTCATTGCCCATGACCATACGTTGCCCATGACCATACCCTGCCCATGACCCATACCCTTCTCATGACATACCTTGCTCATGACCATACTTTGCCCATGACCATACCTTGCCCATGACCATACCCTTCCTATGACCATACCTTGCTCATGACCATACACTTCCCATGACCATACACTTCCCATGACCATACGCTTCCCATGACCATACCCTGCCCACGACCATACCTTGCCCATAACCATACCTTGCCCATAACCATACCTTGCCCATGACCATACCTTGCCCATGACCATATCTTGCCCATGACCATACCTTGCCCATGACCATACCCTGCCCATGATCATTCATTGGCCATGTACATACCTTGCTTACGACCATTCATTACCCATGACCATTCATTGCCCATGACCATACCTTGCCCGTGACCATACCTTGGCCATGACCATACCTTGCCCATGACATACCTTGACCTTGACCTTGACCATGACCTTGACCATGACCATACCTTGCCCATGACCATTCACTGCCCATGATCATACCTCGCCCATGATCATACCTTGCCTATGACCATACCTTGCCCATGACCATACCACACCCATGACCATTCATTGGTCATGTACATGCCTTGCCCATGACCATTCGTTGCCCATGACCATTCATTGTCCATGACCATACTTTGCCCATGACCATACTTTGCCCATAACCATACCCTGCCCATGACCATACCTTGCCCATGACCATACCCTGCCCATGACCATACCATGCCCATGACCATATCCTGCCCATGCCCATTCATTGGC